AAACTTAGAACATTTATTCTATGCATAATTTTCACAAATAATGAGTAAATAGATATTAAAATATAGAAAACCAATCTATGTGTAGAAAAACCCCTCCAGAGAAGTTTGCATATGCATTTTTCTCTTTTAATTAGTCACTTAAAAATTTATTTAACACTAGATTTATAGGAACTGGTCATTTTAACAGATTTTGGACTTCATAAGCAAATTACAAAAGCCACTATTTTTACAATTTTCTAATTCATGTTTAGAATTATCAATGTAATGAGGCAAACACATAATCCCCTTTAATTTCACAGTTCTGTATGATATATATCTTTTTTTACGGATACCTTTCATTTTGATGGGTAAGCTACTTTCATAGTTAATCACAATAAACTGGTTTTTCTACGAAATTATTTCTGGTGACAAATGTAATAGTAGTTAGAATGTAGACACTGAATAAAAATCATAATTCAACAGAAATATCTTTCGATAACTTCAAACCTAATATTAACAAACAGCACATCATGTCATGTATCATGTGTGATTATTATACATGCCTAAAGTGTGAACATAAAGCATTAGGCTGCAGCATTAGGTGAGCGATCTGCAGTCGTTGAGTTCCTGTCAATGCGTCAAAAGTTTCAGTTAGTGCGAGTGGAGATGATCAAGAAAGCATTACATTATTATGAGCAAGTGCAACTTAATTATAAAATTAGAAGAAAGTATACTAGTTTTACTTTAGTCTTTATTCCGATGAAATACCTTTTTTTAGTCATTATGAGTAATTCAAGAAGAGATATTGAACTGCTAGAGAGAGTAGTTATTATAAACAAAGATTGCTCTGGCTGTTAACAATAAACTACAGTCACTGTTTTCACGCTGACAAAAAGAACGACAAATTTGTCAAGCCAATAGTTATCAGCAGTTCTAGGGTTGAGACTGTGTTTTTAAATTAAATTTATAATTTTTTAAAGAAAACACATGGTTTGCCTGACCCATCAATTTGACGGATGTGCCTAAATATAGGTATACAAAAAGGTCCATAAACTTAGAGTAAAATAACTGTGACAAACTGCTAGCATGCTTATAAAAAGAATTTCTAAATTTAATATTTTTGTTTTATTTACAGTTCTTTCATATATTATATTATTGAATATTTTGAAAATATTCTCTATATTTTCATTAATGCTACTTCAACCATTTTACTTTTTTTCTTGCTCAATTTCAAAAAAGAATGTTTTATTTCTATAATTTCTTAAAACAGTTTATACTATAGTTTTTCCTTTTTCAAAGATATACATTATTTACTTATTTTAAGATGTACAAGAGACAGAGAAAGAATATTGTAATATGAAGCATATTTCCCATTACTTTAATTTATTAATACACAGAATGTAACTTAACTACAACTTAGCTTTATTACATTACCCAAAAGTGCATAATTTAGCATTTAAATCGTATTTAACATGTAAAATTTAAAGCAGTATTTTTTTTTTTTTTTTTAATGTTCAGTTTGATAGCCTTATTCCTGGTCTGCATTGTGATTTTCAGAAGGCCTCAAAACCTTTATAAATTATATTATAAAGATTTTGAAGAATAAAGGAAGGTACGGCAGAAGATCTGTAAAGAAACCTAGTTAAGCAAGGAAAACTATGAAATACTAAATATTCAACGTATTCACTCACCAAGAACAGAATCAAAAACAAATTACTGGCGTTCTGCAGCTTTACTGGTATGCCATATCAGCAAAGTAAAATGCAGGGCTAGTTTAATCATGCGTAAATATGAATAAAAATACGCTGAACCTCTCACCAAAACAATATTTTTGTGCTTAAAATTTTTTAAAATTTTCATTCACCAAATCAAAATAATAGGATTACTGATAAAAAAATTATGAAACAATCTGACATGCCACAGAGAGTATAATTTTAAAAGGGAATCTGTTAGGATGCCCCCATCTTCAAACTTGTGGGAGCCCCAAAATTCTTTAAACCGGACATGGCTAAAGGAATTAATGTAAATAGTTCCAACAGAAATTCTAAATCTTCACTTGATTGATTTGTTTGAAAACATTTACTAGATTGATTTATTTGAAAACTTCACTTGATTGATTTATTTGAAAACTTCACTTGATTGATTTATTTGAAAACATTTAAACTTGATTGATTTATTTGAAAACATTTGAACTTGATTGATTTATTTGAAAACATTTGAACTTGATTGATTTATTTGAAAACTTTAGCAACGTTTGAATAACATTCTATAACTATACAGATATTTTTAAAAAATCAACACAGAACTAACAAAATATTCTTTTATTTATTAATCAAATATTCATAAAAAAAGAAAAAACATTGTTCTCAAATCATTTATTACAAAAAAAAATCTCATAAAATATAGATAGATAAAAGAATATAATAAACAACTATGAATGAATGAAAATTCAACAAATGCAGGGGTGACTGTGATCCTGTTTCAAATATCCTGATAATTACCATGCAGTACAAATCTGACATAATTTTTCAATAATTCACAATATTAATGTGAAATACATACATGAATATACACACATTTCTGAACAATTTCATCAGCAAAGCAAAAATGATATTTTTTAAATTTACATTTCAGTACATCATTTCACATAGCTGCCTATCATTTTAATCTTAACATTTGTAAGAATAATTGTGAAGTTTAGCTTGCATTTTTTAAAACATTTTTGAAAACTGCTATGTTTATTTATATATATATATTCATTTTCTTCTTTCATTATATCAATCCCTTGACAAATGCGTGGAGAAGGATGTAAATACCTTTCTTCTTTTACAATTTTCATTTTTGGAATACACTTTTTCTCACCTTTTCATGTAATTATTCACTGTATTTCTTGATTTCTAAAGGCTTGTTCTGTGTTGAGTATGGGATGGATTTAAATGTTTTATTTTACAATATATATACATATATATATATATAAAAGAAGCAGTCAATGGGGCAAGAAGCTAGTATGATTGTACTAAAAGTAAAAATTAGCACGAACAGCTGCTAAATTTAAATGAAGTATAAAAGTTAGGTGTGTATCCAACTCATCAGCAAGAAGAAAACTTGGTGGAGTTCATGTCTCTTTGCTGATGAGTTGGATACACACCTAACTTTTATACTTCATACATATATAAATATACAACTGAAAATTTAGCAAGACATTTTCAAGTAGACTTTTCACTTAACTTTTTAAGTATTAAACTAAAACCTGAAGTACACATATTAACAGGTGTTCCAGATAAGAAACAGCAAGAAAGAATTTTGACAAGTCGTACAGTTATTCAATAAATTATTCCTAATAAATAATTCCTTTACAAATTAGATCTCCAGAGTGATTTTGAACCCTAAAAAGCTACACATGTATATTTATACAATAAGAATAAGTAATATTTCACAGTCTGAAAAGCATCTGAAATGTCAGTATTCAAGGGTGTTCTATATTCTGTCATAATACATTCATATAAATGAACTTTTAACAAAGGCAGGTTAAAACAGATTTCAATCAGTTTAGCTATTACTGAATATTTATATTTTCCATCTCCTTAGCCTGAATACTTCAGCCAAAACTTCGCAATATGAGGGTTTTTTTTTTTTTTTTCCCCCTGTATAGCACAAATAGCAAAAATAACCTTCCTGTATAAGATATATTTTTTATCCGAGCAAAGTCAGTTTGCAAGAAATTTACCTCTCACTGAAATTTACATAACCAAAAAGATTAAATTTTTATTATATATTTGTTCTAAAATTAAATTTAAAAAAAAATAATGAATCTACATTTTATAAATGCAGAAATTCTTGAATTGAGAAAGTAACAAAATCCGGAATTCCAACAATGTCCGGAGAACAATCACACCTGCATTTTAATCAACAGTTTTGCGATAATCAAAAATAATCAACAATAAATCAAGTAACAATCAACAATTTTGCAACACTTATACATGGTACAACAACTAAGATTAACTTCCCATATTAAAAGTTCTCGTCTTAAATATTCTCCAAAATCAAATGTAATAAAAACTAATAATAAAATTTCTTAGAAAACTGGATTTCTTTACCTTTATTTTTCAAAATATTTTAGTACAAATCAAATTTTGTTCTAATGGTACTGAAATTTTCTTTGCATTTCAATCTTGATTAGCCCAAATTTGGTATTATAATCAAATAACACGGTCCAAGTTTTTTTTGTAAAACTTTAAATGTGAACAAATGTTTATACAAAGACACGATGGTCTATTAACTTACTTTCTTATAATATATAGATTATTTATTTTTAATGGCCTTAAATTTTATTTCTGCAGTTTTCTGAGTCATTTTATTATTCTCACAAGCAATTATACTCTTACTGTCCTAGATATTTAAAAACGTACTTTACAAAAAATTGCAGTTAATTATAGAACTGTAGCCAATATTTTTATTTGGAATAAAACGAGAAAAGTACTTTAACATGCCACAAACAATTTTTATCAAAGTTTTGAAATTTTAATATAAATCAAGGAATTGTAAGATGACACACTTAAAATCTTGTTGCACTGCTTTCATTAATGTTTACATTCAATATTCATGTTGCTAAACAAGAATATTTAATACTAGCAAATTAAGGCAATAGTTTATTAATTCTATCACTTTTGCATAGCTATGTCACTTAAATCTACATCAAAATGATGCAATTTAAAGCTGTTACATATATCATTTTTAGACCAAAAGGGCTATTAATCTTGTTTTGCTGTTTAATTTTTCAGATTGCTGCCACCCAAATATTATCGCCCTGTATTATAGTTAAAGAAATTAAATAATGAAGCAATGGCAACATTGTACAGAAAAAAAAAATTATCTCCAGCACACGAGACTGTGTATCGGAAATTCTAAAGATATGCTGTTTTAAAATTATTTTGTGATATTGCTCTTGAATTGAATTTTATGGTTTAAGTGTGAATAACATGATATTTAATAAATAAAGGTAACACACAAAATGTTCAAAAATGCCTCTTTATATACAAAATCTGAAAATTTTCAGAATTCTCCCCCCCCCAAATAAATTCTTTCTAAAATTTGGCTTTCTTTATTTTCTATTACATTTCAGCCCCTTTTTATATCAATATAATTACTGCAGTTGTGTATACTATAATTATTTCACTTTATTAAATATATCTACATATTCAATTAAACACATTTGGGTACTTGTTGCTAAACCTTGTTGAAAAAGTGAATTTGGTGTGTTTTTGCATTGGCGAGAAAGAAACAGAATGCACACATGAAAGAAACAAACGATTAATGATGTAATTGATTTTTCACAAATTTTTTCATAAATGTGTCAATATAGTGGTTTTTCATTGTAAAATATTCATTATCCTCACTAGTTTCAATTTACAATAAATGAAAAGGGAAGCTACAGTAGATGTTTGAGGCATTATTGGCAGCCATTGCTGAAATGGGGACCACCAGAAAGAGTCTATAAAAAATGAATTTTTCAGTATGCTTATGTAATATTTTTTCATATATTGCCATCAAAATTCTATTAAATAAAATAATAAATAGACTTTTATACGTTTAATAAACAAATAGAATTTTTTGGCAAGTTTATAAATTTTATTTTAAATAATTTGCTTGCATAATTATATTAAATACAATAATAATAAATGTAAAACTAAACAAGCTCTGTTGAATAATGTTATTATTTTAAATAAATTGCTGATAAAATTGTACTAAATAAACACAAATTTATATTAAATTTCTTCTATTCTTCCTTTCCTGAAGTTCCATTGTATTTGTCTTTTGTATATCTCAATGGAATTAATTGTATTCATTTATACAAAATAAATTAGATTGATTATAGAAAGTTAAATGACATACAAAATTAAAAAAGGTTTCATTTAAGAGATTGTTTTATATGATTCAAGCACAGAAAACAATATGATAAAAGAAATCTACAAAAATATCCATAAATTCCTTATAGACAAATAAAGATTTTGTTTCTAGTTCTTCATATTCAATCAAATAAAATATAGCTAAACAAACCACACTATATAAACATCCAGATACATTACTTTTTTAGTAAATTTAATTGCTTGAAGATTTCCTTCTGTATCTGCATTCTAAGTGCTTCTGAAGAGGTTGACTTACAGTTTCCATTAACACAGTTGAATGTAATTCTTCATTTTCCAGTGATAATTTCCTGACAAGCTATGTAAAGAAACATATATATTTAAAACCTTCTGTAAAGAACATATTTAATATAAATATAAGCTCCTCTGAATGCACTAGAACAGCATTTCTCAAACTTTTTCCAAATGGGGACCACTTTTTTTATAGATTAGAATGTTCTGTGTACCACCTTACTCTTGTTCCCTCCAAAAGGTTTTTTTTTAAAGCATATGGTGCTATGGTTTCACTTCCACTAAATTCGATTCAAAAACTGTATCACTTTTCTTTTTGTTTTGTTCACTTCACATTTGTAAGTGATACTGAAATGAACATTTATAATATTTTAAATAAAATAACATTTTCTCTGGAAGTTGTCTTTTCTTTCTCCATCAATGCCTAACAGAGAAATTACATTTATGGTTGCATGGATCTATAATTACTTTACAATCATGTTTGCTTACAGTCACTACAATTACATTTACTTAGCCTTTTTTAAAAGTTATCAAACCAATAGTAAAATATATGCAAAAAACAAAGCACTGAAAAATAAAAATTTGCTGAGTCGTGCAGAAGATGTGAAATGAGTGCCTGCTTTGAAATGATTGGAAAGAACAAAAACACCTCTTAATGTTTAAGACTAATTTGATATTAAAAACAGAAAAGACATGGACAAAAGAGCAAAAGCAACAAAGAAATGAGATTGCTCCTACAGCATATAGGCAGATAAATAAAGGCCTCAAAGCAGTGCTTGTATGGCACACGGGCAAAACAGGCCAAGTGGTTAAGTTGATTTCAGTCCTTTGTTTTTATATGATTTATCGATGATACTTTCTTATAAAGATAAGCAGACATAAACTGAATAATAATTATGAAAGCATTATTATACATGTCACTATGTTCTGTATAGATTGGTAACAAGATCCAGAAATAAACCTTTGCTTCTGCTTTTAAGTCTGGTATCATTAGAGAGTTCAATTAACTGCTCTCATTCATTCAATGATAGCTTGCTTATCCAAAATCTCAGTGGAAACGGTCGATTTGTTACATTTACCACTTGGAAAATAAGTTTCAAATTATAATGTCAAAGTTTCAAGAAACAAACAGAAGACACTGCATAATTCTTTTCCAACTGTAATGTTATTTTCTTTTAGGAAAGATTCTAAGCTTGGAGACAATGAAAAATTTCTTTGTTTACACCACTACCTCACGAACCAAGTTTCCTATCAAAATCCTTTTACTTTCTCATAGGCATTGAGCATGTTTAAAGAATTATCTTCTAGCCAAAGATTTAATTCAATTAAATCATTCTTTAGTTTTAAAAATACATCTGAAAGATATGCCAGTGTACTTAGGCACATGTTATCAGTAAAAAATGATGTATGATCTTGTTAATCCACGTCGGAATGAGCTATGTCAAAATGACACGTGTACAGTGTACACGTGTACGTGACTACAGTATCTTAGGCATAACTGGACAAGTCTAGACAGATATGCACCTGTCACGGGTCTCCTGCATGTCATTCGCCCGGTGCCATCCGAAGGGTTTATGCCAGCCAGTAGAACAGTAGTACTTCCTAGGATCCATGCTCGATGCTGTGGAGAGTGGTCACATTCACATAAGAAAAAATCTAATGCGATAAAGGAAAACTAACTACAACTTTGAAATCAGCATGCCTATTTAAAATGGCTAAAAAACTGAACACAACAGAAATTGTGCTACATTGTTCCTCAGTGTAATGAATGATAATATTACCATACTTATTAGTAGATGTTTGAAGAAAATTAATTACTATAAAAGCTTTACTTCAGAACAAATTATCTGAACAAAAAATGCCTCAGATGATGAGTGTGTTTTAGCTCAGGGATATTTAGAAAAATAATTTTAATATTTTCTAATGTCTCATTTTTAATGCCTAGCAGCAAATACCTTACAAGATAATGAATTCACCTTAAAAGAAATTACGGGTAGTGTTGTGAACTCTAGCCAATAGATGGCATCGATACATTATAACTGTTTTTAAATTTAGTTAATGTTTTAGCACAGCTAAGATGTATTGTGTTTTGTCAAAAGTGTAAAGTTTTCCCTCATTATATTGTGCCAATAAAGGATTAATATCTATAATATATTCAGTTACTGTTTTAAAGTCATCTGATCAAGAATCAGGTAAGAACTTTCTATTTTATTTGGACTGATTGTTGACGGAAGCTTTTATTTTATGGTTCTGAAATAGCCTGAAGCTATAGTAATTGAAAATGGTATAACCAAATGAATTAGAGAAATTAAACAATAAAAGAAAAACTACTTGTAGTTCTTTAAGTAAAATTGTGAATAAAATAAGTGATAAACTAAAGGGAGACAATATTGATGATGATGATTTGGATGATTTAATACATCAATTTAGAAGAGAAAATCAACAACCAAGGGATACCATGAAAAGATTACAGGCTCCAAATTGAAACTAGAAAAGTACTTTAAGTGTAAACCTGAAAACAAAAGTAAAATTGGTGCACATAGTGAAGCCCCTAGCATTTCTGAAGAAGGGATAATCGTTAAGGTGATTATCCCTTCAATCTTTCCTATGAATTAGATGAGAGATCTTTTTCAGTTTTAAAGTGCATTAAAAATTATTTAAGAAGTACTACGGGAGAAGACAAATTGAACAAATTGGCCATATTATATATAGAACAAGATGTTTTAGACAAAATAGGATTTGTCCAAAACATCTTGTTGAATAAGTTTGGATGTTTTGGCAAAACTAATTGATGAATTTGCCTCAGACTAATCAAGACATAAAGTTATACAGCTAAATTGTGAGCTCTTTAGTAAGGTTTTAATTTTTTACAATACAATTAAGATTTTGAGGCATTGAGTTTTAGCTATACATTTTATTTGAGAATTTAAGGCCAACGAATCTTTTCACTATTTTAGTTTTTCAACTCTGAGACTATGGACCTCAAACCTTTTACTGCCAGAGGCCTCCAACTAGCTTATTCTACCTCTGATTATGGCATAAATGCATCCTGAACATGATGGCTGTATATACGCATGCACTAAGGAACTGTTAATAGGAGACCTATGCAACTGTTATATCCTCTGGGACTCTCAACCAACACTTAAGAAATATCTTCATCTCCAGACGAATTTTTGGTACAGAAAGATGTTGTAATCTCTAACCTGGCACTGATATGTTATAACTGTTTGTAAATCTGGATAATATTTTAGCATAGTTAAGATGTGTTGCACATTGTCAAGAGTGTAAAGTTGTCTTTCATTAGATTGCGCCGATAAAAGATAAATGTCTAAAATATTTTCAATTACTGCCTGAGAAGCTTATCAGATGAAGAACTTCCTATTTTATTTGAACTGATTGTTGACTGAACTCGTTTTAGCTAGATTGGATTGTAGGCAGAGACATTGAGCATTCTGACACATAATATATTTGCTTTTTATCTATGATACTGCATCTGTGGGCAAAATCATGGGTAGGGGTTAATGTGAGCCCATTTTTAAAATTCTATATAGTTTTAAATAATTCAGAATATTGATGTGAAATACACACATATTTTCAAACAATATCACGAACTAGTCAATTAGTATATTTTTAATTGATTAAAAATTAATTTATGTTTTACTACATCATTTCACACCAGTGCATATCATTTTGGTGTCTTAATGTTTAAAAAAAATAATTGCAATGTTGAGCTTGCTATAGGGGAAGAGGGAGGGTAGGTTCATTTTTTGGGGGAAATGGCTATGTTTATACTTCTCTTTGATAGAAGTTGAAAGTTCAGTATGATCAGTGAGGCATTTTGATGCACACAATAACTTTTCACTCAACCATTTAAGTATTAGATTAAAACTTGCAGTATGCGTGATAACAGGTGTTGGAGAGTAGGAGCTGCAAGAAAGAAGAGAATGGTTCTTGAAATATAAAGAATTTTGGTAAATTGCCCAGTTATGCAATAAATTATTTTTTAAATATTTACCAATAATCATCAGGTGGAATATCTGACCAAAAGCAAAATATACAAATTTGCATAATGAGAATAAATAATATCTCAGTTCATTCACAGCATCTAAGCTATTACTGTTCAAGAGTGTTTTTCATTCTGACATAATATCACCCATATAATTAAATGAACTTTCAACAACAGTCCACGAAAGCAAGTTAAAATAGATTATTCAGTTTTGTCAATATTACGTATTTCTGTTTTCCCTTTTTCTTTCTGTCTAAATACTCCCCCTGCAAACTTTACACTGTTGATTTTTCTGTTTCTGTACAAGACAACAAAAACACCTTCTTTGTAACCTCTTACTGAATTTTATATAGTTTAATCCTTGAATAATATTTTGTTCTAACACAAAATTTAAAAAGATTTTGATTTTACACATTAACTGATATCAGAGTTTACATTTCACAAATCTGTAAATTCAGGATTTGAGAAAGTAAAAAAATCCAAAATTACGGCTATTCCCAGACCACAGTCACCCCCTGTATCAGCTAGGAAGTTAACACTGAAGATTGGAGAAGTTACTAGGAGATCATAAAAGATGAGCTCAACAGCAAAGAACTACAGCAATTTCAGAAACAGCAACAAAAACCAACTCTTGATGAAATATCTTCAGAAAAAAGGAAGAAAGAAAAATTATCTTAGTTTTCTGATCTGCAAAATTTATCCAGTTTTTACATACAATATCACCTTGATAAAGCACTACCAAGCTGCCCTATAAACATTTTCAATGGCAATGTTATGTCTCACTTTAGAAACATTTATAACATGGATCACAACAAATCACATTGGACAAATTTTAAGTGAACAGAGGCCCACTGAGTCTCAAATAAAGTCGAGTGGTGTTTAGAGATAAAGAAAAAGTAGAAGATACACGTAAAGATAGTTACATGATGATGTTATAGAAGCAAATTTTGCATCCACACAATAACATCTTCCTTATAATTTTCCACTTATCTCATCTATTTTCCCTCCTACGGTAGTACAAAATTGAATGACATTTTACACTAGTTTATCTGTTAATTTTTTGTTTCATATTTAACGATTTCCATTTTTTATTTATGAACACCTCTGATTAAGTCCACTTATAATTGGTTAAGATTTTGAATTGCAAAATTTTTTTCAGGGATAAGAAACAGATTAAATTCATGAACCTTGTTTTGCATTTTATTGCAGAAATAATAAAATATTTAGTTTCAGATAAGTTAAACTATCATTATTAAATTTATCCCCCTCAGCAGCCAGATGCATCACAGTTCATTTCTTCGAGAAGAAATCCAACCGTGATTATTCTTTAATGACTCGCAGCTAATTGTTTAAAAACATATATCAGAATATTGTTTTAATTTACTTAACAATTACAACTGTTGCACATTTTTGCCCAAGAATGCAGATTAAGATATTTATTATGACAAGATATGAAACTGTTAATTTGGTTTGGAAACTGTTAGCTTGCATTTGGATTTAAAATTGAAAAGAAGACAATTATTAACAATTTAGTAAACATACCTTGACAACAGATGCTAATTTATTAAATGACACTTGAGAGATAGATTTACTTTCGAGTGTAAGCATATGTTCAGTTACAGCTCCTTCAGAAATTTCAGTCATACCTTATTGAAAGAAAAGGAGGTGGGAAATGTCAGAATAATGAATTATAAAATGGATTTTAAAATGCATTAATTAATATTTATATCAAAAAAATATATTACAAGTATAAATAATAAAGATAAATTGCTTAAAAGGTTGTATTTATATAATTAGAGATTATAACCCCTTTTAACACATTCGCTGCAGAGCGAATTTTTCAAAAACGATTCCACCATGCCAACAAATTTTAATATAAAATTGTAAAATAAAAAACATGTATTTATACGAAAGATATTGAATTTAGATAATTTTTAATTGCTTTATTAATTATACGAGTTATCATAGACAGTTATTGCTATAAAATGATTTATGACAGCGCCAACTACAAGTATACTCGTAACGAGTATAATTCATAGTTGGCGGCTGCTTATTAACTTTATAATTACTTATATTAAAACTTATATGTATTAATTATAATAAATCTCTTGAATTGCACCAAATTGTTGTGTTTTTTCCTATCCCCAAAGCCAGATACCTTCATAGAACATAAAAATACTATTAGTTTGATCGTACATGGCATAGACAAATTTTCAGATAAACCGGGGAAAAAAAAAAAAAAAAAAAATGCTCTATGAATTAATTCATAGCTAGTGCTTAAACGCAAACTTCGACCTACGAGATAACTCATGGTTGGCAGCAAATGTGTTAAACTCTCCTAAAAGTTTTCTTACCAAATAACATGCATTTTCAGCCTCATTATTTCATTTTTAACCATTATTGAGAAATCATTAAGAAATAAGTTTTGATGACTTTGTTCAACTGTAAAGAATATTTTCTGCTATTTACAGGAACTTATTTGTAACAATGTAAATGTAACAATGTAATATTACAATGCAAAACAAACATTTTCATTAGTGAAGGCTGTGAAAAATGTAAAGAAAAGCTTTAGGTCAGGAACTAGGCTGAAACACTGATAGTTTGGAACGAATGATCCTAAAATAAAACAGTATATTCACAAAGTAAATAAATATCAGATGATTAAAAAAAAAAAAAAAAAAAATAAGATTTTCAGGTTGGGGATTTGATGCTTGAAAACTCTTAAAAAGAACAGGGTTCCTTTTGCTTTCCCACTTTTAAGAAGGTCCTTGCTGTTTGCAACAATGGCTCTTTTAAGCAGTTTGATTCATCCTTAAAGGAGATGTACTATTTTATTTTACAAAAGGAAGAGAAACAAAGGGATTACTATATATGCTGCTAGATAGTTTTCCTCATGGATGGAAACTTTAAAAGGTATAGTTGATTCCAAAACACACTACTCAGTGATATTTCTGTTATATAAAATGTCATTCTATTTCCCCATATTTATAAACAATAAAAAAAGTCTGAGATTTTAAGCAGTGATTTTAACTTATCTTACCAAGTTAAATTCTTTATAAAGTGGTAACAAAAATTAGTTATGTTTTAAAGTCATAAAATTCCTCTGTATTTTTTATTTTATAGATTATTTTTAGCCTTTTTTTTGTTTTTAATTTTATTTAAAAGTCTCCATCTTACTTTTTTTAATGCATCCGAAATTTTTTTCAGCAACTTCATGAAATTATTTTCTTAAATTAACAAACATTCCTTCCTTCATAAACAAAGAAATATCATGCAAATCTTGCAGTAAACAGAAACATACTTATTCAGAAGTCAAACAACAAAAATCAGCGTTATATTTTCAAAATTTTCACAGGCCTAGTTTTGATGATTTTACCGAACCACCATCCTCAGCTGCAAAACCGCAAATGAACAAGATAAGAAATAATGGTTCTGCACGCTGGGCCAGCATTTCACAGGTCCATGGTTTGATTCCCGGCGAAAGCGGTTGATAATTTTTCATCTTGCCTGCTTCCAAAAAAATCCTAATGTCTCTACACAATGTTACATAATTTAACATTTCACAAATTCTTGTAGAAGCTTTCTGCCCTCTTTCCCATTTTGATATACTATTATAAAATTAAGCAAAATAATTCCCTAAGATAAGGAAGATTTCAAAGAAACATAAGGCTCTGTTTATGATTTATGAATGAAGTTAACTTTGAACTCTGAAGCTGCAAGAATTAAAAGGGAATGACAGGGAACACTCGTTGCTTAACATAAAGACCTTTGAAAGTGGTAAGTGTTAAGACACCAGGGACATGAAACCTGACATTTTACCCCACACTTTCAGCTAAGAAAACAGACATGGCACTAAAATGGACATCCTAGTTCAGTCCTTTCAAACAGGGAATTCCAAGGCCAGTATAATAACTAACCTGTCCTGAAAAAGTTACCTTTATTCACTTTTTTTTAAAGTGAATAAGTTTGTAAGTAAAAGTGAATAGTTTTTAAAGTAAAAGTGAATAGTTTTTTTTTAAAGTTCTTTTGTTTTAATATTCTAGGCCATATATGAAATAAATAATTCATTCTGATATCATGATCATTTATCTAGAATTCTGATATAAGAAAATGAAAAATTTCTTTATAATATTAATATAAAATTCTTATTATCAGTTAAATATTATCTTCTCCTATGGATATTAAGATTATTAATTCAGAAAAAAGGTCAGTATTAATAATATTTTTAACACCCTTCTTGCAAATGGATAGAGATTTTTCAAGAGATTCTCCCTTCAAATCAGATCTGAAATTAGGAAAATTTTCATACAATTTTAATTTACTATTATAATGTGCCTTCTTCCTAATGGCTTTAAATGAAATTTAATTTTAAATTCAATTTATACATATTCTTTAATTGTAAGAAGTCATTTAAGTACAACTATACTACGAGATTGACTACAACTTCACTTCTTTTTGCAGTTTAACACTTGATTATCATTTGCAACATTTCACAATTGGAATGAAATACATTAAGTAAGAAAACACAGGCACTGAAACCATGCAGAATTATTTCTTATGTAGAAGTATAATAAATAGCAGCAGTACATAATTATAAAGGAAGAGATGCATATTTTCCATTTACTGAAAAAGAGATCTTTAAAAAAAAAAAAAAAAAAAAATGCCAACATGTTGTTGCTGCAGCAGTTCAAATTTTTAATTAAATATGGCACAAAGCAATCTTTTATGCATCATGATCTTTAACGCTTGAATTATTCCTTGATGAAAAGGCCAGTACACAAATAAAAAATATGGTGGGTAAAATTATTATTATTATTATTGCTTTATCTACATTTGGACAGAAAATAATTTTATCCATAAAAAGCAAAATACTTTGCTTCTATTTTAATATAGTTGAGAGAAATTCTGTTGCAATTTTGCCATAATTTCTGATAAGCTGATTTCGCCTTTTCTATAACAAGCAATTCTGCAAATTCATCAGTCATATTGCAGCACAACAGCACTATCAACCTTTCTTTTGAAGTTTCGCCTCCAGTGTATTTTCAGTTTCAATAAAAACATTGGTTCAACAATAATCTAAAATGAAAACTTTTCCCATTCAGATTGTAAAAGTTTTAGGAATGAAACAATGCGCACCTATTTTACCAATTCACTGTGAACTGAGGTCCAACTGAGATTCTCTAAAAACTGCAATTTAAGTGACACATAATACAGTCAAAAGTCGTTAATCCGGACTCGTCGGGACTTCGGCGATTCCGGATTTTCGATTTTTCCGGATTATAGATCATCAGTTTAAATCTCGTAAGATGGCATGCAGAAATTCTAAAATTAAAAATATGAAACCTTAATTTATGAAATAAAGAACAGTTATAATCTAAAGGGTATCAAAATTTACAAAAAAAAAGCTTAATATTTATTTGTTTACTTTATTAAACATTTCTTTCAATGTAAGTTATTTTAAGTTGCTTCGTTTTATGTGATAATACTTTCTCTTTAATTCTATAAACAGACACAATTTCTTGTTCAGTTACAAAGTTCCACTGTTCAAGTCCCGTTAATTGTTGTGCTGAGAATACCGACTAACTTGTCAATCGAAATTTTTTCGTCTTCACTAACCTCTCTGTCACATTCTTCATTTCTTTATCCAATTTTTGCAGCAATTCCACTTTTTGTTTGATGGACATCAAAACATACTTTCGTTTTGTACGATCCTTTGGAAGCTCCAGAATCGGGAAATTCTATTTGACATAATCGAAAGTTCAAGTTTACTTTTATAAAATTGCTCTTACAGTCTGCAAAAAATAATAAGCCAGATCCAATTCGAAGATTAAGGAACAACGCAATCATCAACATTAACTGAAATAGATAATTAGATAATTTTAGATTATACCGTCCGTTATACATAAAATGCGCATGCGAAAACGTATTCTGCGCTTGCGCACATGCACATGCGCAGTGGTAAAAGGTCTTGCGCGAACGCGTAAACGCCTATGCGCGTGCGTCGACGTGGCGCATGCGCAGAAAGTTTTTAGCTTTGAGGTCCGGATTATAGATCATTCCGGATTATGGGTGTCCGAATTAACGACTTTTGACTGTATTCAACTCGAAAATTTCCAGTCCTTAAAAGCTTACCAGACACTCTACTTTCACCAAGATTATCCCAGTTTGATGCAGCCTCAGCCAGGTTGTCATTTTGTTCCAGTTATTTGACAAACTGTTAAAAGTGCCAAATATATAAGAAGTAAAATAGAGTGTTTATGGTAAAATGGAAATTTGGCACTTCAAGTATGTCCTCTTTCATTATTGCCAGTCTAAATATTTTGCATCTAGATATAATGTTGTCTAGGTGTTTTCCCCACAAATGATGAAAAATGTGTTTCTTATATTGAGCTTCAGGATAACAGTTTTGGTGGAGCAGAATCTTTTATTTGGATAAACAACAGTGAATTAAAAGGTCTAAAACTGATGCTTCAGATGAAAATAATTTATGAAACCGTAGCGAATAACACAATAAACATGGACCAGCTTTCTGATGCAGTAGTGAGTGCAAAAGTTAATTATGAAATTTGTAAAAATGCAAGTTACGAATAAAAATGGGTATTCTCCCAATAGGTGATCTACTTTACTTAACTGTGTAGTTACTTTA